CAGAGATAAAAGCTTGCAATAAGTGCAAATATGTTTCTTTCGTTAGGAGCAGAACTCAAAAATGGATGCCAGTACCTAACACAGCATGGCGAGTGTACAGAAAAGCTCCAGCTCCAGAAACTTGGGACAACTATGTAGTCAAACGTAAGCACTGCACTCAACTGCTAGGAGAAAACAAAGTCGTATATCAGCAGAACATCACATAACCTTCAGTGCTAATCACAGACTGCCGTACAAAGGCACGAATAGCCTACGAAAGGTGAGACAAGGATTTTCTCTAAACAGGACGACCAATGCCCCAACAAGAACCGCTGTGGAAGCAGCAAGGGCGCTGTGGATGAAATATATCCCCACGTTTCAAAGGGTTTTGCCACCAAGCGATCTTCCAGCCTTTGGCGTCTCTCCGCCAGAACTAACCCTCCTCACTTTTACCGCGGAGGCTGTATTGCAAAAGCTTACTCTCTTCGCAAACAGCTCGCCAGGTGTCGACACCATTCGTCCAGAGGCATTGGAAGCAGCAGCAAGCCAACTGGGAGGACCTTTAGCTCAATTTTTCCAGCGCTGCTTGGACCAGAACAAAGTTCCCACCATGTGGAAGCTTGGAATAATAACCCCGATTCACGAAGGTGGAAGCAGAACTGATCTCCCCAACTACCTTCCAGTATCCTTTCTTCCTATACTCTCCAAGTTCATGGAATCCATAGTTGCCGATGCACTGGTGTGATATCTGGAAAACCGCAACATCATCACTTCTGAGCTGCACGCTTTCCGTCCACAGCGGTCATGTACAACGAATTTACTAATCGCACGCAGTAGTTGGACCGAGTCAGTTGACGCTGGAGAAGGTGTTGATGTGATCCACCTGGATATTTCCAAGGTTTTCGATCGGCTAGGCCGTCGGATACTACTATCCAAGCTGCAGCGTTACGGGATCGGCTACTCTCTTTTAAGATGGATCGCCAACTTCCTACTTCAACTGCATTTAGTGGTCAGAGTTCGGCGCTCTTTATCGGACCCCATACAAGTTGAGTGTTGCGTTCTGCAAGGCTCAATTCTAGGTCCACCTTTGTTTTTGGTGTTTGTTAATGACCTTACAAAAGGAATCGCTTCAAACTTCCTAATGTTTGCGACAATATCAAGATCTGGCGCAGGATCCAGGTGAACGCTGACCAACATGTGCTTCATAGTGACCTAGATACTGTGTATCAATGATCAACCCGAAACTTATTGCATTTCAATATCAGTAAATGCAAAGTGCTTTCCATCCGACATCAGAGCAGCTACTCATACCGACTCGGAATGAATATACTACAACAATCAACCCTCGAACGTGACTTGGATGTCCTGGTTCAAGATGACTTGGGTTGCTCCAGGCCATCCGATAAGGCCTCGAAGACCGGGAACCAACACGTCGGGCTGTTGCGACGGGCGTTTGGACAAATAAACAGCTCCATATTTCGACAAGTGCTCACTGCGTATGTTCGCCCCATGTTGAATAGGCAATTCAAGCCTGGCATCCATGGCTGAAACACGACCTTAATGCGCTGGAGCTGGTACAACGTCGGGCATCTAAGAACGTAATTGGAATGCGCAATCTTTCATACGAAGAGAGGCTGCAACGATTGGATTTGTTCAACGGAAGTTATCACCGGCTAAGAGGCGACCTGATTATGACATACTTGATTCTGCGAGACCCACATCATGTGTGCCGCCCTTTACTGCAACTCAGCAGCAATACAAACCTGAGGGGCCACTCATTAAAACTCGCAGAACCATACAGTCGTCTGGAATGCAGCAGAAATTTCTTTTCCATTCGTGTCTGTCACCCGTGGAATGCTCTCCCAGAATCGGTCGTCTCTGCACCGACACTAACAGTATTCAAAAGACAGTTGGACGATGCACTCATCCACTTACACTTTAACACTATGTCTCCATCCTACACCTGGCGTTTACCGTGAAATTATTTGTTGTTAACTGTGGATGCTGTGAACCTAAGAGGATCGCAGGACTACAGCGGAGCAAACGATAGGTGATTATTTTCATATTTAAAGTATTAACTATTTTACTATCATTATTATTGTTATGTTGATATCCCCACCAACTATCCAACGGAACTTGTAAAGAAACGTTTCTTAACCCGTATAAATTCATTGTTCATTGTTCTCTCTAAGGCAAGTATTTTGTGTGTGTTGACGACAGTGATAAGGCAGTAGGCGCAAGCGGCGTCATTGATAGAATGGAAGCAAGGTGGAGAGACACGAAGACGAACGTTGACAAATACACAGTGCCGATGGACCGTTCGCCGAGATAATACTTAGGATTCTATTACGTTTTCTGGTGAATTTACGCTGTTACACAAAAATGGCATCGTCTTGATATTCATGAAAGCTATGCATACCGTTAGCTGTAATCGTCTCGGCAAAGTTATGTTAGTACTCCCTATTACTGAGTTTACTTTGCCCGTGTGAATTCACGATGTAGCCGTACGTTCGAGATAGATTGCCTAGAGTTGCTTACTACCATCTTTCCTCCCTTTGGTTCCATGAAATGTGTGTTGTATGTGGGTCGGTTATGCAAAGTTTAACCTTTCTATCTACTGTGTTTCTTATAATTTTCAGTGTGTTATGAAGCACAATCTTTTCCGGTTACGCTGTCCACTTCTTTTGCGACCATATGTAATCAGTCGGACTAGCAATCCAATCCCCAACAAATTGATTTCGATGTGACACTAACTGCAAAGATCTACCTAGGCTACTGACCTCCAGCTGAATTCCGGTGTCAGCGATTATGTCGCAACAAGCCTTGCCTTTCCTCTTAAAACATGGCTTTACATTGTGTTTGAGTGTTTACCGTCCAGGGCTTGTTTGCTCAACAAGACCTGCGTAATTCATCCATTTTAACCGCGACGAATCACGTTGGCTCATGGTAGTGTGCACATTGCACGATCTTGTGAATGCCAGCACACAGATCACCTGTCGCCAAGGTAGTACATAGCTAGGTACTCTGATCCGTCGATCTGGTTATAAGCACAGTTTCCATCGTGACCAGTGTTTTTATTTCTAATGGGCTTACTGATCGAGTAACCCGGTACGGAACCCTTCATTCATTCATGGTTTAACGGCTTCTAAGTTCCGCAACCACAATGATACGCGGTGTTCTTTTCTTCTCAGGTGGGACACGATGAAAGTAATGGAAGCAGTTCGAATAAAAGGCGCTTTTTTTCTTTTCGTTCGCATGGTGTTTGAATCCTAAGGAAAACATTTGCGCGTCGTAGTGGCCGTAAATAACTTTTTGTCGAAAGCCCATTTCCATTGTTTTCAACGATGTCTGTACATCCACCATTCGTGAAATTTTGTTTAATTTTGATCTCGTTATCCATACTTGATTTTTAAGCTATGACCAAAGAGGCAATGTCTTCACTAAACCCACAAATCCGGCCAGTTTTTATGAACACTTTTTATGTCGTGAAAGGGTTTTCGAACTTCATCGTACACAGTTTCCTTTACATTGTTCCGTGACTCAGCATAGGATTGGAATTCTTACCGAAAGGAACCTCTTTTAACTATAATCTATCTTTCGTCCTCTGGAAATGCTTGCACACACAAGTGGACTTCGAGTTTTATCACCATTTTGAGCCTTGAAACGTGCGTACACCTTCAGTATGCACTGTAGAATCCATGAAATTGGAATGTTACATGCGGAACCTAACAACTTTGTCGCACCGACGCCCCTTAAATTGGTACCATGCCTTGCACGCCACTTTGTCTACTATTGTGGTAGTGTACCATCCACGCGCATCAAGACAGTGGCACCAAGTTTCATATGCTAATGAAATGGGAACCATTCGCCTCATGGTATAGCCTCTTTTTGGTTAAAGAAAATCCTCCATGCTCTTGCCGTCATCACAGCGACACAATTTGTAGAGAACACCGTAAATTCAGTTGAACCGTTTTGTTTACATCAGAAATGTGCTTTCGCTTCACCCACCTGTTATGTGCGTCCATAAAAAACCAGAAAGATTTGTTTACCTGTCATAGATACACCTGTCGAAAGTTAACAGGCGTTTGTGATGTAACTGTCCATAGATCGACGGGGTACATTTTGGTGTTAAGTTAAAGCAGAGCACCTGAGTTACCAGCATTCATAAGCCAGACGTAAAAGTGGCTATGTTAATGTGACTTACATTGGTTCAATCCACGCCATTAGCACCAAATGAGGAGTTGGAGCAACGCCTGTTATTTGTGTTATTCACAAACTGTCTTCAACTGATTGATCCGTGAAACAGAGCAAGACGAATGAAAGGGCATATATCATCTTTCCTTCCAAGCTCTATGGAGCTGTACATGTGACAAGCGTGTAGCCTCAGAACATTAGCTTATTTTAACTTTTCACTCCACTACGGCCTTTACCTGTTTACCGCGGTACAGAGGACAAAAACGTGATTCCTCATTGATTGACTTGGCCGCCAATTCTTTAGTGTATGATCACCAAGCAGCCCATTGACACAACCAATTAGTTAGAATTAAATTAATGCCATTTAACCATCTCTTGACCTGCCAAATCGTGTAATTTCATGAAGACAACTTCTAAAGGTGTTAAACTGTTAGCTGCGGAATACAGCGTGACGTGAATAGAATGCTGGTATTCAGATGGACTTTACATTAATGTGCCATTGTCATCAGTTAATTCCTTGAGAATCGTTCAGTTACAACTGAACAGCGAAACTTATTAACCTGTCCATGGCTTTTCCACAAAATTCGCCACGGAGGTTTGTCCTATACCTAATATATTCTAGTGCGCGCATTCTGTTTCACTAAAACATAATGGCGATAAAGCTTACTGTTTTGAAATCATTGTTAAACTTGGTGTATAAGATTCCTTGATATTTACTATGTAAAAACAGGAGATTTTAATGTAATCATTAGAGTTTCTTTGCGATTACTCTTGTCGTTTGGTAAAGCATCGCAGACTGAATGCGGTCTTCGTTTGATCTCGTGTAGTCTGGTGTTCGAAACGGAACCTGCCTCATCCAGTATAAAAATGGCACCTTTGCTGGGGATCACACAAACGTGAAGAGTGACGATGATTATTACAAGGTCACGGGTGCCATCACGGCCGAACACATGGACAAATACGAGTAAGTCCAAGTACGGACCTTCTTTCTCCCATTCACATTGAACCGAGGTAGATATGCTTCTTTCTATTCTACTCTGGTAGGCATACCATTCCTTCTGACAAGCCTGATGAGGCTAAGATGCTCTTAGTACATCATGCTGTTTTACTTATATGAATTGTCTCCAGCGTTTGACTGTAAACTTCTGTATCCGGATCATTAATGAGATAGTAGTTTACTTAGGAAGCACACGCTTTCTGGCGATGTTGAAAAATTCACATTCCGTTAGTTAACTTGCACTCGCATGGTTCTCATAGGCTGTAATAATCTAAGTGATAGCAATTTTATATGCTTTCCTATGGACCGTCACCAAAATAACCAACCTTTGAATCGTTAGAAAAACTCAATATTAATTTTCGCCACATGGATTTTATGTATAGATTGATAGCCCTCTTAATTAAAATCTTGTAAATGAGATTTAGCGTTCTGGCGATTATAAGCTCGACTCGATGTTGACGTGACTGTGTACCATCAGTTGTCTCTAGAATGACATGTTAATTATCAAGCTATACTCCAGTACCTACTTAGCAGCCGCATCATCAAAAGCAGTGAATAAGCGTATATGATAGATCGTCAAATCACTAGTCTCACTTGCTGAGTAGCTTCCAAACCCATGCGTTTTGCAGTTTCCAGTTCGACTCTGGAACCTCGGACCGAAATGTAGCTAAAAATAAAAGGTTACAGACATCATCTGCTCAAATATCATCATCGGTGGTTTCATCTACTAACTTTTGTCCTTCTCATCAGCTACATCACCCTCCTCTCAGGTTCATTCGATTTGAGACGTTACATGAGTTTTACTGTTGTATCAACCACCAAATCTCATCGTGTTTCAAACCATAAGATCGGCTTCACTATGTTTTCAATCTTCTTATTGTCCAGTTGGCAGAGCCAGCATTCATTCTCTGACACCGCATTTTGTTAAGTTCCTACATTTGTGTATTCCGGAAACAATCATCAAAGAAATCCTTATCATAACGCACCTCTCACCCCTGAACAACTGTTTCAGAAACGAGAGTTGCAGGTATTCGTTGTGGATATTTCAAAGTTCCGCGTTATCCGCACCCGATAAACTAAGTGCATCCGAGCTGACAAAGTTTTGTCGTGAATTTCAACGGTTATTACACAACGGACAAATGTAGAATAACATTTCATCGTTTATTGTAGAATCCCAATGAAAATTGCCAGTAGAATGTCAGGGCTAGGTTTCTTTTGGGAATGCAAACACTCATCCGGATGACAACAAGTACCAAATCCGCAGCTAACGCTTTTGACGAAAGCGCCCGGTAAAACCATTTTTGTAGATGTTTGTGAGTGGTGTAAGGTTTGTAGAAAGTAAAAGTCACGATTAAAATTCACGCACAATAATGTGCCTCGACGGGGAATCGAGCCCCGGTCCACGAATTTCCGGTCCGCTGCTCTACCACTGAGCTACCGAGGGCTGACGATTAGGTGCGCAAATTTTAACACATGACTTCTGCTTGGTATTGCCAACGAGCTCACAGTATCTGTCCTGGTTTTGCAGATTGGCTCACTCACCCGTCACTTCCCAATGGGCCGAAGTATCTGTCCTTCTAATGTCCAAAGGGCGATGGTAGATTAATTGTAGATGTTTGTGAGTGGTGTAAGGTTTGTAGAAAGTAGAAGTCACGATTAAAACCATTTTTGGAAGCTAGATCAGGACCAAAGGAGGCGGTTTCATAGTCTATATATAATTTAACGGCACACAAGGCTGGTCGCTTGAATTAACTGCAAGCCATAGGCAAGATGCCAGCAGCGCCGATTCCCAGCAGATAAATTTACATCACTGAGTAATCAAGGATATTGACTGGTAAAAATGAAAGTAGAACAAACGCTACCCTTCCTAAATTTAATGCAACTCTCTGATTTTCTCTGATTGTACCACGAATTCGATTAACCGAATTGAAAACGAGCAAAGTCAATGGCTATTTCGTCTAACAGCAGAGCGATGACGAAGAGTTATTACGTCCATTGGGAACAAGCACCAAAAAAACGACGTTTGTAAACCAGTTAAATTAACGAGGACTTACCAATGTCTCAATCAATCATGTCACTTATTAAGGATTATCGCAATAAATCATGAAAATACCAACAGTTTAATTGGAAAACGGAATATTCTGGAATGTCGGCATAAACCATTTTGTTACGGAGCTTTCATAAGAGTAGCAAGGGTCAAATATTAGGTCATCGGATTCTTCAATAGTTGCAAGCATTGTTGACATGAACGATGGAGAATATGTCATCGTGATGCCCAAAGTTCAAACGCAAACGATTTAGTTTTTAGACCAATGACACTCTAGCATCCCGAATGTTTTCATGTAAGCAGTTGGTATTTGTGCGATAGAACTAATGTATCAGAGGACGTTGCATTAACCACGCCCTCAGACAATACGGGTGTGATAAAAATCGGCTGAATAAATTATTCCTAGACATGAGTTCATTGTTGTTGCGGACCCAGTTATAAGCAGACATAGGTAAAACTAGTACTCCATAATCAACATTTTGCATTTTCTTACTGTGCTTAATTGTCCCCTGACAGTCAATGAAGGATTTCTTGCTTATGATCGCCTTACCGGCGCCTACAAATCAGTGACTTAAAAGCCTACAGTCATACGATTATTTCATTTTATGATTCCTAATGCGCTACCAGTAAGTATTAACTTTTAGCGCAGAATGTTTCTAATACGCCAAGACGACAACGGAAGAAAAAGTACGTAAATTCTTGCGAATGTTTTCCTCTACATAACAGGTCCCACTTAATTTAAAGACTTGGAAGTGCTATTTAAGTGAACACGTGAGCAAAGATTGTGTTTCATCCATCTTAAATACCATACACATTTCTGCACAATTGTCGCTTTCTTTGTGTATTAGACCTTGTCAGAAATAGCAAGCTTTCAAGTTGCCTGTGTCCTAGGATCTGTAGAATTACAAAAGAATTCCATATCACTGGCATATATGCTTGAAAATATGCAGTATAAAAGCTGATACTTGGGCGCTTAACAGATTGCCAGATTGAGGCGGTTTATTGTGTGAATCATGGCCCCTGGAAATTCCACAGGACGAGATGCCTTGCGGATGTCGCTTTGCAATCTGATCTAGGAGAACTGTTGCCGACCTGTAGTAACTAGTTAGGCCACCTCACCAGACAACGCACGCATCACCACCCACGAGTGTTGTCAAAACTTCCAAACGTGCTGTACCTCCTACAGTTTCTCGATTCCAACTTTGTCTGTCAACCTGATTCTTAAGAAACCTAAAATGACTATTACTTCACTTGTTCGGAATATACGGATGTATCTATTTAGTATTTATTCATGGTAAATTTGGCTTGGCTGAGGTCAGAATAACCGCAATGATAACTAGTGTTTCGTACGAAAAGCCTATGTGTTTCCAACATTTGTTCACAATTTTCAGCAACCAAATATTTGACACTGTTCGCTCAGAACTTGGCTTAAAGTAACACTTCAAACTCCAGAATGTAAGTTTTGGTTTAGTCAACAAAACGAAAGTTTAATCCTTACGTGCCCCTACACGGCAATTGAACATTAAGTTTATGCGCTGAAACTTTCTAGCAGATGCTACGGAATGGAATCTGCTGCTTCAAAGTGCCTGTTAAGGATCGAATTGGTGGACGGGGGATCCATGTTTTAGTCAGTCCATCAATTCAATCCCTTGTGCCCAGTGGCGTAGCAACTGCTTTTGTCGCCCTGGGTGGTGGTAAAATTTTACCCAGACTGAGGGCCGAATAGGCGCGTGAACGCCATACAATAGGCTCAAGGTAAGGCGCACATTAGTTTTCGATGAAATAGATGGTTGTTTGGGACGCTGCGGTAAATGTGCTGAAAGTGACCTCAGTGGGACAAGTATGGGGATCGCTGGGAAGAAAACTTGCAAAGGTGTGACACATGGCGCAAAGGTGTTGTTAGCCATACAGCTTATCCGGCAATTTTACTCGACGGTACCAATACTGCAGCCGCTTGTCACCTGCCGCCCGAGGTGGTCTGCCCCCGTCTCCTTGCTACTCCTCTGCTTGTGTCTACAGTGGTAGATCGACACAGCTGACATGATCTTTCTATCTTAGTTAACAAAACTTCTCACGTGTGAACCATAAGTGGACTGAAAGAATTCCGAATGGAAATTGTTTCCCAAAAGCCTACACGTCTCTACGGATGCGTGCATTTTTGTGCATACTTTAAAGTATCCTACTACTTTGAGCATAGAACTCAAGTATCACAATGTGATGAACATCGGTCGTTATTTGGGACTTCCTTAATATGGCTTATACCCAACGTCCGTGGGAGAGAAAGGCAAGCTTCACCAACGGCGCTTGGTCTGTTTCACTATAGCATCAGAATATCCGCATCACGAGAAACAACGCATTCTGAGTACAGTGTACAAACTCTTCTATTCTCTTAGCATGTTATTCCTGTGTGATCGAACCGTAAACTAATGCCTTTTCCTGCATAGATCTTGGAAGCGTCTATCATGCCTAGGTGTTATGTCACATTCCCAGAGTAGCTTCTGGGCTTTATGCTAAGTGACAGTATCACATGCGTACCATCTCCGTTCTATGTCTTATCCTATTACTCCAGACTGCCACTTTACCGCATCACGTTAACTCGAAACGGAGTTTGGGTAATTCTCCCTTAAATGGGCATTGATGGGCCTAACTAGATACAGTGGCAGCATTTGGAATGAAAATTAATTGCATGACCGCATCCTTTCAATGGGGTGAACTGATCAGGTGGAGTGTGCCGATATTTCTGTTTACCCTAGCATGCAACAAGGTATGAGGCAGCGCTAGTAATGGTATGTGAACGGCAAAATGGTGGACAATCGATTTTCCATTAAATCCGTCACAGCCACACAGTGAGACAACTGCTGCAAATCTGCAAGAGCACAGAATGGTCGTTTCATCTGTTTTGGGATTCGCCAGCATCGTG